TTGTGCAGTAAACACGATAAAGATTTACAAAATTGTTCTAACTTAATTTCTCTTTGAAATATGAGTTAAGTATTTTTAATTTAATATTTTAAAACTCAAACAACCGTTTGTTGTTTCTGTGTTTCTACTTCTGCTTCCTGATGAGGAAACCCAAATTTCAAAAACATGGACCGGATCCTCAGTGTTAAACATGGCAGTGGCAGTATCATGCTGCGGGAATGCAACACAAAATGGCTGATCAGAGATGAAGGGAAGATGAGGCTGAACACAGGGTGATACCAGAAGAGAAAAAGATGTAGGCACCTCACGATTACATGTTGCGTTGTGTTGGTGTGTCACATAAAAGCACCATAAAACAGGTGGAAGTTTGAAAACCTGCAAGGCGCCGTAGCAGCATCAATCAGAATCCACTGGGTTTGAATCAAAAATTTAAATTTCCCTTTTCTGCCTTGTTCTCGCAGGTTTTGATGCTCACACACCCCCATTGCAGGCCAGATCTTTGCATACTGATAATAAACACAGCAAGCGGCACATGGAAAACTCCCACTCTAAACATGCTGAATTTAAAAAAAAGAAAAAAAAATGGAAAAGGAAAGAAAAGAACAGAAGAAAAAGAAATGTTAAAGGCCTGGTCTCACAATCTCTGATAAGCAGATCAAGGCACAGGGAGGGGAACATGATGTTAGTGAGAGATAGTTTGGCTGATTAAAATGTCATGGCTCTTTATAGATGCCTTTCTCAACTCAGCAAAATGAAATCAGCTCTGTAGATCATAAGAAGAGTGGGCTGTGCTCTCTGCTAATAGATAACTTTCTTTCTCTTAAGAATCCAGAGTACAACTTGCATATTTTGGTCATATTTGAGCAAAATCAAAACAAACATTAACGTGAGTTGTTGAAGAGTTTATAAAAACAATTAATCAGAGAGGATGGCAATGAGTCACCGTGTCTCATCACCTTTATTACAATCAAATCAAATGCAGAGGACCACTCCGGGTGTCCCATTTATCTCACCACGGCTGTCTTCCTTCATGCGTGCTTATCTGTGTGGAGAAACTAAACTGTATATCTCTCCACCTGAGCTCCTATAAATCAAACCTGTGCTTTAAATGAGAGGCTGGTTATTTGCGCAAGAACACACACGGGGGCCCTGTGATTGTTTTTTTGGAGTCGACTTTCTGCTTATGTTTGCATCCCTGAACAATCTCCGTGGATCCCGCAAGCGTACGCAAGCAATTAAAGCGATACCATCTTCATATCCCTGCAACCAATAACTGAAATAATATCACTGTTTTATTAAGCCCTTAATGTGGGGGCAGAAGCAGTGAGGAGTGGGGTTTTAAGGAGGATACACTTTCAGGGGCCTTATCAAGCCCGAGATTTAAATAAGAGCAAATGTTCGGCTTAAGGGTGCGCCTGTGTATCTGCATGCGTGAGCCTGTGTGTGGCCTTTATCAGACATGGATTTTAGCTAATAGCTGTGTCAGCATACCAGAATTTAATTACTAGCTCCACCTTTGTCCTGTAATATTTACCAACATCTACACTTGGTTTAATTAACGAGACATAAGAAAAGCCACCGCCCCGTTCTGGAGGAGAAAGAGAGAAAAAAAAAAAAAAAAAAAAAAAGAGCTTAAAGGGGAGGAGTGAAAAAGAGTGATTTACAATAAATATAGTCAAAGAAACGATCAGCTTGGCATTTGGTGCCGAGGAGCGGCTCCTCTCATCTCTCATCCCGTGTCAAAAGGCGGAGAGACGAATGACGGCCCGAGGCCCTGCGTCTGTCAAACATGATGGATCAGAACAACGCTTCACTAAAACTCCGCCGCGCCGCCTTTCAACACGTCACATTCTCACTTCAGTGAAAACACCAAACTGATAAAGTATGAAGAACAGCTAATGGAAAGATGTAATTGTCAAAGTAAAGAATATATTAAAAGGCTGTGAAGCCTAAAGGGTACAGTGTTGGATGAATCACAGATCTGGATCTTATAAATCAAACACAAAGTGTTTGATGATGTTAACTCTGACACTTCCCGTCACCTCCTTCTCATAAAGAAAAAATAGTAAAGAAAACTGCCCCAAAAGTGCACACAAATCATACAAAGCTCTATAAGTACGTGGGAACTCATAACTGTTTGACTAACCTCAGAAAACATTTCAGCGTTATTGGAGAAGGAGATCATCCAACATGTTCCAAATGTGAGGTTTAACATTTTTTTTCACAATCTACCTTCCAAAAAGGCATGGAAGCCTTGAGTAAAACAACAAAAACCTATAGTATCACAGCATCTACACAAAAAAAAAATTAATTGAAATATGACACATGATCTAATTGACGTTATTTGCAACAAATAAGTACGTTTTCATCCATTCATCTGTTATCTATGCCCAGCAATTCTTGTGGGGTTGTGAGGTGACTAGTTCCCATCTCTGGGAATCATTAGGCGAGACACAGGGCACCCATCCATCACAGGGCGAAGGCTCAATTTAATATACCAAAAAAATACAACATATCGATCATTATAGCTATTTATAATTACCGTATGTATATTTTTATATAGGTAAAATATAGGTAAAGTTACTGCTATTATAGTTATAGTAATATTACCCACATTTATTTAATGTAAGCGATAGGGCTAGCTTGATTCACCAGATTCTGACGACATTCTTGGATTAGATATCGGGCTCAGGTCACCAATCCATCCAGTGAGCCAGACAGCAGAGTGCTGCAATACCAGACGTAATATTTCTACGCGTTTTATTCTGGAAGTTTAGGCTTATAGTTTTAAAAAAAAATTTGTAAATAAAAAAACACATAGCAATCTCACAAAGAGCAAAATGAAAGAAAAATGATTCAAATATATCAATAGAAGGCCAGAGTGAATGAACAGTCAGTGATGTGAAGAGCGAACGTTGGACTGCAGCATTTAAGTGTTTTAAATCAGAAAATACAAGACTTTTGTTATGTGCTGCATGTAAACATTTAGGATAGTTGAAGTTATTTTGAATTGTTACAGTGATGGATGAAAATATTCTTCAAGTAGGTGCAAACGTTTGATCAGTCATGTCCTCGTTTCACCTTAAAGTCAAGAAAAACCATCTTAATGTCAGTGGACAATATATCCAACCATTAATCTACTAATACCTACTTTGGACAGCTTTGTTTCGAGTTATGTTTACTGTTCCTTACACCTCCGCTAAGGAAATGCCACGTCAGCATTTTAATGCATAATAATTGAGGAGAAAAACTCCAGACATCTGCTGAGGAGCAGCAGGGAGTTTCAGTAGACAACAGGAGGGCTACCTGTGATTAAAATAAGTTGAGCAATTTAATTTTACTGGACTTTTAAGATCAGTAAAAGTTGGACTTGGAAACCCCGGTAGTGTGTTGGGAAGACTTTGACACTTGAAATTATACGGATATTGCTGTTAGTGTTAGCAAGGCTAGTGGTGAATTATATTTAGAAAAAAGTTGTTGAAAACTAATGTGCTTTTATAGAAGAAGAAAAAAATTAAGCTGTATACCCAACAAAGCCTTTGTGGCATTTGTCGTATTTACATCGAACACTATGGCTCAAAAACTCTTTAATGTTTAAGTGAAATGCTCGGGATTGGACAAAATTCCTGTGAGTAGATATTAAGATTTGTAAATTGGGATTTAAATCCAAAAATCCAGGATTGGAGAGTCTCCAGTCATTGTTACTTTGTTTTCATCACTGGACTTAGCAAAACTGGAGAATAAACAAGCAATACATTTATTCTTTAAGCAGAATATCCTCTTTATCCATCTTCCAATTTAGTAAAGGAGTAAGTTGTGCAAGCTAACACTAGCCTGTATGTCTAACTGCTGCCAACCTGCAACCCTCTCCTTACAGACATGCTGATTAACGCTTGTTTACAGTAGTTTTAAAACAATACTACCTTTATAACTGCACGGGAACATATGAATTTTGTATGATTGCATGTATTTTACAGCCTGAAATATTTCCAAGCAGCTTAATAAAGTAAGACACTGTTCAAAATAATTGACAAGCTTTTCATTACTCAGTATTTGTATTCTATGCTTGTACACATGCATCAGCTTTACCTCAGTGTAAGCCAAGACTAATATAGAACCTTGAAGTTTGCCAAAATACTTTCCTCCCATCCTAGTTTGTCCGGGTTGGTTTTCTTCTCAACTGAGCAGCTCTGTTGAAAAACTGCAATCTGTTTGTGCAACTCCAGATAAACAAAAGTCAAGCACTTGTGCTGTAGTTTCATTTTGGAGGCAATACTTCACCTCCTGCAACAGTTTCAGCTCTTTCCCTGAGCAGACAATGACCCTTCAAGGAGCGCTTGACCCAAAAACAAAACTCCCAGAAGCACAGGGGTCCAATAACTGCAACAACCATCCAAGTGAAGTGTCAATTTTCTGAGGGGGATCTAGTTTTACAGCTGCTTCTAAATTAAAGTTGTAATCTGATGAAATAAAGAACAGGTCCCTCTGGTATGGCAACTAGCAACTTCTCTGCGTCTCAAAACAAAACTGTGCTTTATGGCATCATGTTTTCAATGTGTCTTTGCTTTCAACAAGTATTTACAAAGCAAATCAAATGACAAATGTGGAAAAGCACTCATAGAAGGCAGGTGATATTAAAATCAAAACAATTTTGTTAGACACTTTAAGGAACAAGAATGCACAAATTGTGACATACATTCACTGTTGTCTGGATGTTGTAGTTCATTAGATCTGGTGTCATCTAAGAGAGCAGAACTTAAATAAACAGTAACAGGAGAAGGCGGAAAACAAACTGCAGCTCCATCTGTGAAAGCCAACATCACAGCGGAGCGACTCATTTCCATCCGGTTCCTGTTCTTTTTCCCAAAAGAGTGTGCCAAAAGAAACACATGCTCAGTCAGAACTGAGTCTAATCGCATGAAACTAAGACACTGCAGTCCACTCAGCGGGAGTTTGTGCAGATTCATGGTGATCAAACACTTTCTGAGTTGCTTCCTTACCATAGACTTGGTGAATGGTCTGGCCAGAGTAAACAGAAAGGTCATCAGCCACCAGCTCTTATGAATGGAGGTGTACATCATGTTCCCAGGATGCAATGCGTTGGAGGTCACACCGTGAGGCGAAAGACGCCGGTGTAGCTCGTTGCTGAAGAGGATGTTGCAGAGTTTAGCCCGGTTGTAAGCCAGCATGGACCAGTACTCGTTCTTCGGAGGGGAGAGCACGGCCAGATCCACCTTCCCACACGAGTCCAACAGGTCCGTGAACCTAGAAGACAGTTCACAGGAGCAGCGTGAGAGAGTCTGTGAAGGTTTTCTGACAGCAGATGCATGGCGCTGGCTGCATACAAATCAAAGACGTGACATGATGTTCTTTAATTGCCTGCGACAGAGCTGTTAAACTCCAGATGTTTGACAAGGCTCCTTAAACATTACACTACTCGTGTTATTATGCGCCGCATCACAATACTTGAGCACAAAAAAACTACACTCTGTGTGTGTGTGTGTGTGTCTGCGTGCGTGCATGCGTGCGTGCGTGCGTTTGAGAGAGAGTGAGCGGAGCTCAGCTCTGAACTGGAGGAACACACTCTACATATTAATCCAGTCATTAGAAAACAACCAATCAAAATGTCACCTGGGTTCCTTGTTGTGATTTTACAAGCTAGCCGCCTCTTGTTTACTGTCGCCTTCCGCAACATCCTTGCTTGGCTAAATTACAACATCTGCAGGCTTTTCATTTCATGTGCAGCAACTTCATAACTACTTTAGCAAGTAGAGGTTGATAAAACAATTGCCTGAAAATGGCCTGTGTGTATTTTTTTCCACTATTTGTTTCATACAATGCAGTAAAATTGCATCTAGTTAGAGCTAAATGAGACTTTTCAATCAAAGTAACAAAGTAAAGAAGTTTAAGTGAAAGTCATTTGCAGTCTACAGTATTTATGAAGGTCTTTTTATGAAGAGAACTTTCATTACTTTCTAAACCAGTGATAGGGTTGGCAATTGTAAAAACAAACATTAAAACGTTAATCTAAAAAAAAATTAAAAAAAAAAAATAGGATAATCTTCAATGTTTATGAGAAAGCTTCAGGAAACATTAATTATTTCAGTTCTGATTTAAAGGAATAAGTTTCTGCACATGTCAGGTTTTCAGCAATTGCATTTCAACTAATTTGGGTCAGTGTGGGTATCCTCTATAGATATCTATAGAATAGATATTTCTGTCTATTCCACCTGATAATGAAGGAAATTCTGATTCCTTCGGATTTTGAGATTTCACTGATTTTTAACAGTTTGAACAGTGGCAGAAAATCCCACCTACATTTCTAGTCTTTCAATTAAGTATTTTATAAGAAATATCAAACAGTGTTTCTACACATAAAACCTGAACTTTGGTATCACTTGACTCTAAGGTAGAGGTTTCAGAAGAATCATTCTTAAGACGAGGGTCAATTAAAACTACGAGAAAGTGGTTCTCAAATTTTTATCACACATACTCCTGTGTAAAAGTTTACGGTTTGTCAGACATTTTACAACAGTAGTACAACAGGCTGTTGATAATTTGTTGAGTTTTAGCAAATCAAGGCAGTAAAAGAGACATGGCTATCTGTGGGAACAGAATAATTGGCCGAATCTTTTTTACTGGATGTGCTGCTGCTGCTGCTTGCTTCGGTTCTCACCTTATTCGCCAGGTTTAATGTAATTGAACAACTTGGTTTCATTGGCTGTTGGTGTGTATCAGCTTTACACTAAGCAAATTGTGTAAGTACTAACAGCTGCCACTGGAGAGACACAATTCACCACCAGTGGTTGTTCTGCCAGAGCATCATGGAGGCAAACAAAACCTGTATATGGTCAATTCCACAGTAAGCCCAAATGGTGAAAAGTGATAAACCACCCAACCATTACTTGAATGTCCATCTTTCCCAATCCTGTCTCTTACAGGTCAGTGATTTACCAGCATACAAGGAGCTTATGGAATACAATATGCTGCCAGGTCAGAGGTCGCACACTATCCATGAGGGGAAGCTAAATGAATAAACGGAAATCCAGCAGAAACTGTAAATAACACAAACAAAAAAGGGAGCAACTTCAGTGGAAGCAATATAGGTCTGGAATGAGGTGTATAGGAGAGAAGATGTGCGATGAGATATTGTCTAAATTTGCTCCTTCTTCTGGTCTAGTTCAGCATGTAACCGACTCCCTCTGGTCCTGGCTAAGCCCCCTTTGAGGGAGCTAAATCCCCCGCTGATCATCAAGGAGAGGAAGGAAGGTGAAGATAATGCGTTAGGGAAGCAGAAACAGGAAGAGTGTATGTTACCAGGCCTGTCCTGACTTTAGAAATGCAGTGTCATCCACACGCTGCATGAAATATCTAAACGTTTTCAATAAAATGACAGTGGAATGATTATCTCACACTGAACAATGTTAAGAAAAAATCCCACCTTTATTTTCTTTATTTTGAGTGGGTAAAATATGCCACATTCAAAAAGAAGCAGCTTTATTGTTAAAAGCTTCATGACACACCCTGCTGTTCAACTCACTCACAGCCTGTCTATATAATTTAGGTCCAGGGACGGAGATGACACAGGAAGAAGGATGTTTTAGTAAAACATTTATGTGTTGCATTAGTCTGCTGTAATAACTAACAATTTTTTGACTTCCTAGAGCGTCTACCATTCATTTACTTAAAACCTCCTGATATTAAAAAAAAAAAGAAAAAAAAAAGAAAAAAAAAAATACTAAATGGGAGTCATTGGGTGTTTTGGGTCTTTCAACATCATTCACCCTCTTTCAGGCGACCCAACCAGAGATGACACATATTCTTGGAAGAACGTTTTTCAACAGCTTTATGATTTTTTGCTAAATTTGAAGCAGGTGTAGTTACTACACTGAAAAATGCTACATCGGGAGGACCTTATGAGAATTTCCCAGAGGTTCTGCACTTTAACTCTTGTGAAGTATGAAATATTCTACTGATGAAGAACTTTGCCCTTGTTCTTACCATCCCAAGTAAAAGAACGACACCCAACATCGCCTGTATTCAGTCCAACAAAAGCTGCAAATACTCTCTTTGTGATGCATTTTCTTCCAGAAAGTTTCTTTGAATGCTATTTTTCTTCTTTTTTTCCCAAGAATGCATCAAACTTTTGCTCCTGTCCTTTCATGCTTTGTAAAACGGAAGGCATACGAGAGCTCCTGTTATATAGCAGATCTGCTAGAATAACTGTATGTTTCTCAACTGCGCAGGTCACTCTGCAGAGCTCCAATCAATCACCGCTGGTCCGTCCGACTGACTGAAACCAGAATCAATGCTGCACACAGAAAGAGAGCGACTCTGAAACACATGGCTCAGGGCTTGGGCCCACCGATCACTGCAAGACATCATGCTTGTCTACTGCACAGTTGCGGAGCGGAGTTGTTTAACAACGGGACGGATTTAAAGAACAATAGATGAGGGGAAAGTAGTGAGAAAGAGAGAGGGTGAGTCCGGGGGTCAGGCAGAAAGGAGCAGATACTTGATCAAAGTAAATTTTAGCTGATAAGTCCATCCATCAAGCTGATGATACGTTTGATTTGTAGTGACAGCATGGGGAAGGAAATGAGTTTCAGTGACTGAGGCTGTCATGTTTGACAATACACAGTAAGTCTTATCTGTCAAATTTGTCCTGAAAACTAGCCACTGTGGCGGTTATAACAGCAAGAGCAGAGCTGAAGGGTTGGAGATTAGACAGGGTAGGTCTGAGAGATTACTGCTTAAACTTTATCAGTGAGATTTCACTGCAGCTTTGCTGTGAATGCTAGGAATGCAGTAAAATTCGGCAAGAGTGAAGTTTACTTTCCCTAAAGGCACCTTCGGTAATACTGGGAAATGAATTAGCTGAAATTGTGCTTTATATTAATTTGATTGTACCTAATGATCATCCTACAATATCATGAAGTTCACAGGTAAGATATCCTTCTTCCTCCTTGCATAGTTTACCTTCATGTTTTTTCTCATATTTCAACAGGAGAGTATAAATACATGTTAAAGGGAAAAAAAATTATATTTCTCCTGCTCCAATGAGAAAAGAAACAAAGGATGTCTGAATCTGATCCCAGGTGTGATTCCGACCACAACCATTCTTAAACAGTCTCTCCAATAAAACAGAGCGGTCAGCAGTGTCAAATGTTGCCCTTAGATCTGACATCTAAGGGCAGAAGTGTGATCATTGTCTGTGTTTACCAACCGCGTTTTTACCTGTGTGACTCTGAGGATACGACTACGACTCTGGCAGGAGCTGAACGACGCAGGACGTCCTGAAGACATTGGACAAGGAGGAAGTGGCCGAGATGGCAGATCTGGAAGGTGGACTCAAGGCCATCTTCTGTCAGACTCCAGGGCTGAGTGCACACGGCAGCGTTGCACACCAGAATGTGCAGGGGACTGTGGCGAAAGAAACAATTTCAATTGGTTACAGAGACAAAAAAAAAAAGAGGCACAACACAGATCAGAATAAGCTGATACACATACAAGTTATGAGTATGAAAAGAATGATTAGCAAAGTACAAGATAAAGTAAGAATAGTAAGAGAACTGGAAACAGAAAGAAGAAATGTATCCTTTCTGATAAAGGTACGTGTTTTGTCATTTTTGTAACTTTTCTTTTCAAATGTGTTGATAGCAAAACATTATTTCCACGTCCAGAGTTACTTTAAAAAACATGGGAAGGAACAAAAACAACCACAAGACACTTGAGAATGCAGCCAGAGTAGCCAAATAAAGACGATGCCAGATACAGAGGCCCGACTGTCAGATAAATACTACACAAGTAATGCTACTTGTGTAGTATTTATTTCACACAGGTGAAATATTTTTGATGCGTTTACTTTCATAAATCTTAACCACCCTTTCTATGTGGCACAATCTTCAAGGAATGTAGGAATGCTCACTCCCTCTATATTCTGTGTTAACAATAACCAGCTCAAATCCACTCTACATATTTTATTTAAAGGTTTTTGTTTGTTTTTTGTCAAGAAAACAACTTATTTCCTGTTTACATCAATAGGAAGTCATGTCCTGTGATTCCACATATTCCTATTCATTCATGGTAGCGTCGTTTACTTTTAAAGAGGCGTGGCTCCAAACACTTTTTTGTGTCTGAAAAGTGTATTTTAAAATTACATGTTTACTTTGAATGCTACTTGTGTATTATTTATTTCACACAGTTAAGATTTATTTTTTTAAGTTTGTCGGCTCAAAAATATGAAATTTGCCCATTAAAGAAGGTTTTATTTGTCTGCAGCGGCACATCATTATCAATGATAGGATTATACAGAGGTTTCTAGTGAGTCTCCCCATGGCTACACAATTACTGTAGATACCGACTCCAGCTGGCCGGATTCCAAGAGCGGCTACGAACGGAAACTGATTCTTCGATCATTTAAAACACACTCGTGATGGGAGTAAAGCGTTTCAACACAACATCTGCTCAGCTACCGTGAGAAACCAGATCCACCAGCACATCGACTGGAGAAGACTAAGCAGATAAAAAAGCCAAGTGCTCTCCAAAGTCGTGATATTTAAAGCAGGTGATTTTATTCAGCGGCCCACATCTGCTTTGGATTTCCGTTGAGCGGGCGAGCAGATCCACCTCCTCGTGAGGCAGAGAAAGGGGATTGGTCAAGGTAGCGAGAGATCCTTGTCGGTGACAGTGACGCTCCAACGAGCTCAAAAGGCACAGTAACACAGGCGAACAATCCAAACACACCCCACCAATTTTTAATTTCTTCCATTAGAATTAATTATGAGGCCGAAGGCAATTTGTGTACCCTGTGTTTAAGACTGCCTACTGGATTAATTAAAAACTGGATGCTGGAAAATTAATGTGTGAATTGTTATGCCTTTCTATAATGAGCCATCCCATGCTATTACATAGTACTATACTGTACGATCACCTTCAGGCCTCTGAACACACTAGGTTCATTAAAGAGCACAAACCTAGGCAACTTAGAGAATGCCAACCTCAGCACATATTCAACACACCAGCAGTGAGACATTTTAAGCTTTTACCCAAAATACAGCACGGCAAAGAAGTCTACAACTAAATTGTTTTGAGCCACAACACACAAGTAAATGCAGTGCCTTGGAAAATTATTCACACCCAATGAAATTTTCAACATTTTCTGACGGTACAAGTGCAAAGTTTGCCACATTTCATAGGAATTTTATGGGATAGACCAACACAAAGCAGTGCATATCTGTAAAGTGAACAACAATTAATACGTGTTTTTCAAAACAGATTTCAAACACATTTCTAAAAAAATGAGGCGTCCATCGTTATTCAGATCCCCTCAGTCAACACTTCATAGAACCTCTTTTTGCTGCAACTACAGCTGAATTTCTGTCAGCTGCGCATTTCTAGATACTGACGGTTTAGTTTGTTCTTATTTGCAAAATAAGCTAAAAATCAGTCAGATTTTTTAAAGCCTCAGCAGCGGTACTCTGGTGGATCTATTTCTGGACTTTGACTGGGACATTCTGCCACATGAGAATGCTTTGATCTAAACCAGAGATATTCAACCTGCAGCTCTTGAGCCACAAGTTGATCTTTGGATCTTCCACAGAGGTTCTTCATAACTTTTATAGTAAAAAATGTATTGTCATGATAATAATTTTGATTTATAGATGTCACAATAAATTTCAGTTAATGTTTAAAAAACTTATTAAAATGTTAATGTTCCTATTTTCTCCATTGTTTTTTTTTCCACAGGAACAGGAGTAAATTTAGTCTATATGTGAAATTTAGTGGTATAAATCACATTTCTTTAAGTGTGTGGCATCCTTAAGAACCTTGTTTAAAAAAATAATCAATTAATGTTTTTACATGTAGACTTAATTAGAAATTAAGGTTTTTAGCTGAATGATTCTAAAAGTGCCTGTAATATTTCCTTAGATGCATTTATCTTTTAATTAGGTAGAAAAGAGTGTTATTTTTGCATTTTTTATGGGTTTTTTTTTAGTATTTATTTGTTTTAAAACCTAAAGAGACAAACAAAATCTTGGATCCTTAAAAGTGGCCAAAGTCTCCTGAAGTGGATATTCATCAAAAATAATGAGTTGTTTTTATGTTGAATTTTCAGCTGTAGGCGAGTTTTATTTAGCTGGATGGAGAGCAAAAAAGTGAGGGCCGATGTTAGTTTTTGAGCACAAAGACATGACTATAATTTAACCAAATCTTCTCTTTTTTGCCACGCTTCCATTTCTGCTTTACATGACCAACAACTGTCTTGAAAACAGATTCTCCCACCTGAGCTGTGGACCTCTACAGCTCCTCCAGAGATTCATGGGCTTATTAGCTGCTCTAGGCAAGTACAAACAAGCATTTAAGTTGACATTTTTGAATGATTCCTTGTATGTCATTTGTTCTTTAAAGGTTGCAAATAAAAATCCACAGCCTTAGTATTTACACTCAGATTAGTTCCACTGGGTTTTATTTTCAGGTATCAGGCTTTAGGGGACTGGATAAAAATGTATTCCGTCTTTGTGTCAGATTTTGAAAACTATCATATTCCATCTACTTCGCGGTTGTGCTCTAACAAATAAAATACAATTCAGCACAACACGCTGAAGTCTAAATGGGTTTACAAAATGTGAGTTGAAGGGCTACGAATGCTTAATGCCGCAGATAAAACGAAACAGAGCAGTAGAAACTTGCGGTGATTTCAAGGTCTAGTGAAAAAATGCCATTTGCTTAAAAGATGGGAAATTAAATTTGTTGCTTTTGACTTGACGTTCCCTTGTCTAACAGAGTATGAAGTGCAGCATCATTGTGCAAAACAAGGCAAAACGCTTGGCTCGGTCCCCAGTGTGTTCACAAGGGGCTTCACACTAACGCCACGGGCTTGAACTCCTGACCCAAGTTTTCAACCCCTCACTAAAGCGTTTACAGTAAACTAATCCTTTTTCCCAGCAACACCTCTCAGGAATTAAATGTTGTGACCTTATTCTGCAAAGACAAAGGGACAAAACAGAGTCTGTCACTCGGAGAAGATCACAAATTTCTAATCAAAAACTCACATAACCAACTTTTCTCTGGCCAGTGGAGAGCTTCCCCCCACACACAGAGCGTAAATGTGGCTCTGGTGAGTCTGCTTGTAATGTAAAAGGCCTGTTAATTCAACTGCCCACCAGTTAGTCCCTCTCTCATAAGCGCAGGTCTAATGAATGTCTTTAATAGGCCTATCGCCGCATACCACAGTCCCTCTCTCCACATTAAGGCTTCACAGCACACCATGCGCCGCGGTGCAATCTCAGCGCTGGTCAAACGAGGGTGTTAACTACCAGACGGGGACACATACGTTTATATATTTACTTTAAATAACCCCCGCGGGTGTGACCCCTGACCTCCTCGGTAATGTAGGCCAGCAGGAAGAGATTGCCTGTGTGAGTAAGGTTTGGACAAGCAGTCATTAACACTGGACTTTATTGAAATGAGGAAAACTGGAAACACCCACAAAGTACAGACTCTTTCTGACCCATATTTCTCCCCAAGAACCAGAAGTTAATGTTCATCGAGTACGAAAAATTATAGGCCAAAGAACAGGAGATGTAACCGTTTCATACCCTTTGAGCCTTCTTAATGTATTTTATTTATTTTACTGGAATTTTATGTTATCAGCCAGCAAAATGTAATGTGTGTATTTTTATTTCATCCCACTTGAATCCTTAAGTCTTAAATTAAACAAAAGGGCAACCAAATGCCTGCAAAGGTCACACATACAGCTCTGGAAGAAATTAAAGAGACCACTGCAAAATGATCAGTTTTCTGATTTTACTTTTTATAGTGTATGTTTGAAAAAAATAAACATTGTTCTTTTATTCTATGAACTACTGACATGTCTGCGAAATCAACACTTTTCAATATTTTCATTGTTAAAAAAAAAGAATAACTGCACATCCTTTTTTGTTCTCTTAATCATGCACTGCTGTGTTGGTCAATCATATAGAATCCCCAAAAAATCCACTTGAGCTTTCAAGCAGTATGGAGACTTTTTCAAGGCATCAAAAATAAAAGCAGAGAAAGTTAATGCAGGTGAGCACACATAGCTTGTGTTAATTACGAGCCGCTCGGCAGAAGTTGTGCTAAGCGTTTATGTCAGCAGCGTCCTTCATCAATTACATCCCTATGAAATCGCACTGCATTCAACAATATCAATATCCAGGTAATTTCATTTCAAAGGACAGGCAATTAAAGCAGAATTGGGGTCAATGGAACACAAAGCAGCATGAAAGCCACTGACTGGAGCACTTAAAAGCAAGAGAGTGAGAAACGAGGCAACGCAAAGAAAAAGGCTCTGATTGCATTTCACCTGTCAATGACACGCTGCAGGAGCATTACTGTGCACTTGTGTCCGCATGCAAACAGTGCGCGCACAGTTGTCTGAGCGTGCACGCGTGCTCACGCATGTGGCCACTGCGTTTGCGCGGCTCTGCCGTGTGTTATGCCCGAAGACATACGTGCAGTAATAGAGTGTTGGTGGAGTCAGACAGCTGCCCAGTGCCATTCACAGCTCAGAGCTCCCAGCCTCCACTCTGCTCTGTTCGCCTTCTGATGAGAATTAATGTACTCTGACGTCCCCTGGGAGTCCCCCGCTACCCACCTCCCCTCCAACAGCACGGCTAATGAAGAAATACAACCTTGCCAAAATACTGAGGTAAAGAGAGACAGAGACAACACGAGAAACAGGAAGAGAGAAAACTGGCAGCAGACAGATAATTTGTACAAAGCAAAATAAGAGGGACGATAGTAAATGTATGAATTAAGCTGTTACAGGGGGTGCAAATACATTTTTTAAGAAGTTGGAATAAAAGTATATGACACAGATCGAAGAACGCAACCGTGGAGTTTGGCCGTGACCCAGGACGCGTGCCCTGGACAGCCATACCCTGCCCCAGGGCTGCTACAGGCAATGGCTGCCCTGCCTCTCCCCAAGGGGCTCCCTTGACACCAACAGCCCTTCCCCGACACGCAAACACACATACACACACACACACACACACAAACACACACACACACTCTTCCGTCCTACTGAGACCTGCAGGTGGATGAGCAGCACAGACAACTGTATTCACAACCCCAAAATAGCAACGGAACGCCTGCTTGCCGGATGTGAGACGCAAGGCGTAAAAGCTGACCATGTCAAAATGAGCGATGGGAAGCATTCAACCAATGTCAAGTAATTTGACACAAATACACACACTCACTCTTGGGGTTATGTCCATATGGTGTCTATGAGTAAAGTTCAGGATGTCCCTTAAGTACGCCGGATTTAGATACACTGTTTACGTCCTTAATACATTAGCATGGATTAGTTATTCCTCTAAGTCCAGAATTACTGAGGAAAAACTTCTAAATCTGATTTGCTGGAGTCTGAACCACAGTTCTGATCTACTGCAATGATGTGGGTCCAAATGTCAGCAAAAATCAGAGCCTAACATAACAGAACTGAATAAAGAAATTATGAATAGTTTTGTACACAAGTACTGTTACTCCTTGAACTTTATCATATTTTCTTAAATTTAACTTTAATTAATTATATTGAGATTTTGTGATAGACTAGCAAAGTGTCGCACCTAAACATGAAGTTGAATCAAATTGACACATTGTTTTTGCAAGTTTTTTTTTGTTGTTGTTTTTTTTTCAAAATTAAAATATAAAATTTACATTCAATCCCTTTCACCATGACACCCCTAAATACAATTCAAAGCAATCAAGACAGGTTTATAAAAACAATATTCAAAGCCTAAACAATTCAGAGAGCTTTGTGCAACCCATCATCACCTGGGAGAATGGATGGAGCTAAAAACAGACTTTTCCTTCCACCTCACAATCACAGTGGTTCATTGTGTTCAGGTATCACTTAAAATGCACAGATTTATAGCTGTAAAGTAGTAAAATGTGAAAAGCTTAACAGATATAAATACTTTTGCAAGGCAAAGCATCTAAAACTTTGCAAGAATATGAAGATTTTCTAAGTTCAGAAACAAACAAGTACGTTTATACTCACAGCTTCTTGGCCTTGAAAGATTCTGCAAACTCCCTGACGCTGCGCAGAGAAGCCAGGTTGCACATCATGGCCTCTACTCTTGCTTTGTGCTGTTGAGAGAAAAACATGTACATAATTGCATAAGAAAAGAGAAAGAAAAAAATACAACAGAATGTTTGAAAAGATTCATTTTCTCATCACTGTCAATGTAAAAGTGAAAAGTTTAGAAGTTAAAAAGGAATAAAACAAGATTCTGTTAAATAATTCAGCTGAATGTGAGAATTAAAATATACTACATTCTGAGTGCATAAATACTGAAAGTGCCCTCTGCAGTTTTTAAAAGAAGAAAATAAATCACAATTATGTCTGTTCAGGCAAAAAAAAAAAAAAACATGTTAGAGAAATCTACTTACAGTCTGGTGCAACTGCTTTTATATGATCCTTTCACATAGAAGAACATTTGTAGTATTTAAAATGTTAGATATTCTGTAGATTTAATGGCACAATATAGGTGTAGTTTGGAAATGACTGAGTAGCTATTTTACAAACAGAAAACAGTTTGCTTAGTTTATTGATAAAATCTAAAAGTGCATGTAAAAGTCCAGGTATGTGAAAGACAAACGGGCTGTACAAGAGTTTTTCTTCTTGCTGCTCATCTTTTATGTCAGGATTTTTTGGAGATGATGTGAACTGAACTAGTCAAATGAAACAGAAACATAAGTTGCTGTGAGTCATTTAACTTTCCCATTTCTTCTGTTTGCTGGAAACCACTGTAGCAAACTATAGTGTTTCTAAGCAAACCTCAAAGACTTAAGGAACTCTGTACGTATAGCCTATGTGTGCGTGCGTGTGTGTGTGTGTGTGTGTGTGTGTGTGCGCGCGCGTGAGCGTGTGTGTGTGTGTGGCCCGTCTTATGCCATATGTTGGGAGACAGGCTGAGGATAGGGGCGGAGAAGAGAAAGATAAATGACTTAAAAAATGAATGCATAGCTGCATTTACACACTGCAGAAGACAAGCTAAATATTCATCATCCTCTCTATCACAGTGTAGCGCTCCGCTGCAGGCCAGAGGCCTCAGCTGAGACACATGCAGGCCTGCAGGGCCACATCTCTTTAAAAACAGCAGAAAACCATGTTTGTCATTTTGTCAACAGAGATCCTCTTTTCTCTTGTCCTTCGTTTATATCGGTGCAAGCCAGGCGAGGTCCAAGGAAGCTCACATGGGACCTTGGCATGTGTTAGCACTAGAGCACGTAGCATGAAGTGAAACTGAGCATCCCGCGCACTCTGCTCTCCGAGTTCTACCCTTTCCTGCGCAGCGCTCCGATTCCCCGAGGAACGGCATCAGCTCGCATAACACCCGGAAGAGCACTCGGCTCCCAGCCCTGCCAACCAGCGGCATCACCGCTGCTTTGCTGTCAGCCTTTCTTTTTTTTTTTTTTTTCCCACAGATATGAGCTCCTGTATGTGACCATCACTTGGGAATGTCTCCCTGCAAAGCTAAGCATACATGACACTCCCAGCAAGGACGTTCCACGGAGCAGTGAGCACGACGAAAACAACAAAGGGTTAAGAAATGGGATTCTTCAGGCATTTTACTGACACCTTAACTGCCCCGGGGCGTATTCAAACATGCATACACAGGCACACGCACACACCCCCACATGCACACAACAAATGCAATGTTGTGACTCAAGGGTAAAACCATGCCATCGCACCATTAGCTATGCTTGAATTATTCTCTTGATGCCACTCTATACCATTATACGGATGCTATTACAGAACATTAAAGGGCTGATTATGACTATTATAGATATGATTATAGGGTACCTGCTTATATGATCCGCACACAGCAGTAATCACAGGTGAGGGGAGACAACTGTCTAATTTAATGACTTACAAGTGCAATGCGCATTTATACTTCGTGTCCCTTTCACATGGTCCACAAACTCAAGGGAAAGGGGGTTATTTTATAAAAGAGAAAATATTGTTTGTTTTTAATTGTGCATTTTAACCGTGTGACGTTGACTATGTCGCACTAAAAAAAAACTTTTTGGCATAAGAGCGCGCAAAAGTTCTCCGAACAAGGTCAGGACATGCACGCTGTTTGATAATTAGCAGGTCACTGGGAAGGCCTCCTCAACAGGAAAGCTCTTCATGAGAGCATGGCCAGCAGAGAAGATGAGAGCAGGTGTCAGCTTGACGAACATCTCTCCTCTGGAGATGTGGTAGAGAGAAAAAAAAAAAAAAGAGAGAGAGAAGAAGAAGAAATGGGAGAGCGAAGGAAGGATAGAGGGAGGATTTTAGGGGGTCCACTGGAGCAAATCCAGCAGGAAGAAGAAGGTGAGCAGCCTGCTTTGCCCGCCTGCCTACCCTCCCCCTGCAGACTGAAGTCTTGCGAAGAAAATAAAGTTTATTGCCTGGAAAGAAGAGGGGGGAGCATGTAAAAAGCATTAAAGCTATGGAGGTGAACAATTAGACAGATGGCCAGGTTCTGGAAGGAGAAGGAGGAAAAAAAAAAAAAAAAGGATAGAAAAAGACAGGCAGATCATAGAGATACAATCGTTCAGGGTTTTTATGAGGGCCCTGACAACTTCTCTCCCCTTCAAGGACGAAAGACAGAAGCGAGGGACAGCGATGCCTCTCTGGGTAACTCCCTCAGGGAGCCACAGGAACTGGCTTTAGTCTACGGAGCCACGCGCATCCTGCAGCTTGGTCTAAAAACAAACTCCCACGCAGGTTTCTGAGATTTTAATGTGCAGAGTTCTCCGGGCTTCATGGCCAATGTTTATAAATTATGAATAGAAAAGATCAATTTATAGACTTATGATGGATGGATTAAACTTTTAGATAAATAAAAAAAGAAAAATCAAGTCTGGAAATATAAATAATTTTCCACCTCGTCTCTGTCAAACATTGTCCAAATGGCTGCACATGAAAAAATGATCAGAAGAGATTTTAGACGAATGAACCCGTTTCTCACCTCCAGCCATCAAACTTTCAGTACAACAATCTGTAAATGTGTGACTTTTACCTGTGGGAAGGATGAGAACTACAGCACCAATTTATTAACCTCTGCCTACAAGAGAGAAGGCCGAGATCCTCAGAGCCTCCCCTGGTGTTCCCCTACGGCATGCGGTCTCTGTTGTGGAGAGAGAGATGGAGAGATGGAGAAGGAGTGGAAGGTAGCGTAAGGCGGGTAAGCGCTCTAATACAATTATAACTGAGGCCATCCAATCCAATAAAATGAAGAAGTATTAAAGCAGGGGGAGCTTCATCCTGGTCAATAAGACACTGGGCCACTCTGCTAACTCCTGAAACACACACGTGGGCGTCCTCACACAGACGTGCACAGGTACACACACTTCGCTGACCCCTTTAATAGCACAGCAGCCGCCACTAATGGACGCAAGCAAGTGGAACCGCCAAATAATACACTGTCTTAATGCACTGGACTCAATCTCATCCCACACTCTCCTTTATCCTTCTCAGGCTTCACTCTCATACGTTAACCCCTGGTTCCATCTACCCTCACCTTGTGCCGCTCGCCACCTCGCTGCCTCTTATGGATCGCCAAAGCAGAGGCATCTTTAAAAGGCTTCAAAGTACTCCGTATGTACAAAACACTTACCCCGCTGATCCTTGTTAATCTCCTCAGCCACAATCAAGGAAAAAAAAAAAAAAATTAACGTTTTTGTGGTTTTAACTAGTTTCGCTTCCTGCGAATACTTCTAATGTCGCCTTAAAGTGAGAGGAATGTAACATGGGTGCATCTTAACCAGCAGGTGCAGAGAAAAGGTGTTGGAAAATGCGATGAAAGTGAATGAGCAGGGAAGAGACCATGTGAAAAGGGCACCTTATAAAAGCAATTAGAGAAATGACTTTGAGCCCTTCTTCCTGCTCCGCAGATTAGAACAGGCCTCGGAGGGAGAAACGCAGGGAAACTCAGATCGGCGTGACCTTGTCTGCAACACACCCCGCTAAATTGGCCATCAGCTTTTAAGACTCGTATCACAGATTTTGATATATTTTTAGCAAAACGAAAAAAGAGAAAAGAAAGGAGGGGAGAAACTGTGGAACGTGCAGCTCGTATATCATCCTGTCACAATTATGACGTTTGTTCATAAATACCAACCAATCTCCTCTCCACCTGGCTAAGTCACATGCACTTGTGCTTATGCATGCGCCACACAACAACAAAGAAATATGGATACACATCACGTGTGGTGTGTGTGCGTGTGTGTGTGTGTGTGTGTGCGAGAGCTTCCCAGGCTAAAAGCAAAGAAACATCTGTCCGGGTGCTCCGGAGGAGGCCGGAGAGTTGACCTCCGTGCAGACAAAGAGGCCAAACACACACGCCCGCAAACTCAAGACCCTCATGTTCTGCACGTTGCAGACACAAACGCGCACAAATAAACAAATGCTCGCGTGCACACACATTTCCTCACCCTCCGACACGCAAACACAGTGCAATTAATAGGGAGGCAGGTCTCTGGTGAGCAAGAGAAAGTGCCTGTTCAGCACATAGCGGCAGAATATGCAATTTCCTCCAGTTAAGTCTGTATTAAATTGATTTCTTCTTTCTCTGACACGGACTGGGCTTCATCCCCCCCCACCCCTATAATGAAAGCAGGATAATCTACAGGTTTTCCCTTTCCTGAAATCAAGTTACAAATCAAGTAAGTGTGGGGGCAGATGTGGGGAAAGGTGAAGGAAGGACATGGGATGATTTTCCAGATGAAAAACATGAAGAATGAGGGAAAGGCGTGCCGATACTCCGAACGTGCACCTGACACGCACATAAGGACTCGCACGGGGAGGAAAAGGGCCAGCTTGTGGTTAAGTGCTCACTGACATCCTTATTCAGCGGCGTGCAAAGGGCAAGACGTGTTGGTAAACAGAGCATTAATAACCGTAATGAATGCGGCACATCAATTAGTGAGCAGATCAGTCAAACCTGACAAGGAGGCGGAGGCTGCAGACAGAAAGGCAGTTCGACAAAAGGAGAAACTCGTGGACTTCACATTTAAAAAAACTGCAAAGGAAAATGTTAGCGTATGTTTAATGGTTTACAGTAAGTGATTAAAGAAATCCAATTTTATATCTGCTT